CTAATTCTTTGTGTATGCAAGCCCTTTAAATTCATTTTCTCTGTATTGTGGGCTGCCATGGTTCAGCCTTAGAATCACAGAATATCAGGGTTGGAAGGGACCTCAGGAGGTCATCTAGTCCAACCCCCTGCTCAAAGAAGGACCAATCCCCAATTAAATCATCCCAGCCAGGGCTTTGTCAAGCCTGACCTTAAAAACCACAAAGGAAGGAGATTCCACCACCTCCCTAGGTAACGCATTCCAGTGAAAAAGTTTTTCTTAATATCCAGCCTAACTCCTGGTGAACTCCTAGCTCTAACTGCATGAAGAATAGCATTACATGGTTTTAGAATGCTAATGGATTTTACCTCGGAATAGAAGGAAGTGTATCTCCTGCATATCTCAGTGCTGAGCAGGAATGCTGGTTGGGAATCTTTCCATAATTTTTTTTTTTTAAATGCCAGTTCATTGAAACCAAAACTCTTTGTGGGAAAGGGTCAGTGCTGAAATTCTACTTTAAAAATGTTTGGAGTTGGGAATTTAGAAATTGTCAAAACTTCTTGTTTTGACATTTTCAAAAGGAAAAATCTGGATTCAAATGAACTTTTTGTTTAGAAATTAAAGTTAATTTTTAGTACATAGATGTGTTTTTAAAACCTCTTGAAATTGACAAAACATTTCAATTGATCTGCACTGGTTTTTGTTTATTTTTTTTGATTGGTGAAAATTTTCAAGATTTTGGCTTTTCATCACCGTTCGGGATGGGAATTTGCTAAATCTCACCAAAGATGCCACAGTATGGCTTTGTGTGCCTGGTATGGGAATTCCTCAAGTCATTCTCAGGCTCATTGCCTAGTGGACAGAGCACCGGACTGAGACTCAGGAGACTTGTGTTCAATTCTGGCTCTGCCACTGGCAAGCTGGGTGACCTTGGGCAAGTCACTTCCCCTCAGTTTCCCCATCTGTAAAATACAGATAATGATGCTGACCTTCATAGTAAAGCACTTTGACGTCTACTGATGCAAAGTGCTGTATAAGAGGGAGGTATTATTATTATTTTACCTCTCCACCTGCTCTAATACTATGGGAATTCTGCAACATACACTTTATCTGGCCAGAAAATTCAAAATACCAATGATCCCAGCGGGCTCTTTGCCCCCATCCCCAGATTTCTGCCTTCCATTTAGCACAGAGGTTTTCAAACTGTGGGGGCACATACAGGACCATCCCTAGCAGGACCCAGGACATAGGCACCGAGCCCCCCCAGCTCTGCCCAGGCCCGCCCCCAATCCACCACTTCCCCCAAGGCCCCACCCCAACCCTGCTTCTTCCCACCCCCACCCCACCTCTTCCCCGCCCAGTTCTGCCCCCTCCCCCAAGTGCACTGCGCCCTCAGCCCTCTCCCCGACACAGCGAAACATCTGATCTGTGGCAGGCAGTAGGCGCTGAGAGGGAGGGGGAGGCGCTAATCAGCAGGGCCCACTGGTGGGCAGGAGGCGCTGTGGGGAGGGGCAGGTTCTGATAGGGGGGCTCCTCATTGCCTGCCCACCCGCCTGCCGCTCACCTCCTTGTTTCCCGCCTCATGATTTTATGGAAGCTTGAGGTCCCCCAAAGTGCGGGGCCCAGGGCGGTTGCCCCAATTCGCCGTACCCAAGGGACGGCTCTGGGCACATGCACAGCAGTCATGCCTCTCTGCACCTGGAGCTACAGGCTCATTTACAGCCCAGTGGCCACCTGTTCCAGGCAATCCGCTGATCTCCAAGCAGGTGTCTCAGTCCTGAGTCACTATTTGCTGTGCCTAGCGCTGACCCCCCACCCTGCTCTGCAGAGGAGAAACCGATGGCTGTGAATTTATTCATGCCCTTAGCTGGGGCTGGATTGGAAATGGAGACAGGACTCTGAGGTCCTGCCTGTGTGGAAATAGGGCAGCAGATGGGTCCCTGCATTACACCTGGGAGGGCAGCAGCATTTGTATGTCCCACTGCTGGGAGAGCTGGGAACACAGACAGACCACAGCAGGACCTGCTGAATCAGGTGCACTGGTGGCGTTTGAACTGCAGCGTTCAAAAGACAGCTGGGTTCTTCCTCCTGCCCCCCTCCCAAAGAGAAGCTACATCTAACCTCACACAAGGCTTCCTATTCCCCTCCAGCCCCACCGCTCTTTGCCCCCACAGCCATCCACCCGCAGCTCTGTCTTCTTCTCCGGCCACCCCAGCCATTACCAGCTGCCAGCAGGGCTGAGCCCACTCCAGCAGCTCCTCTGTGCAACCAGCAGCTGTTCTCAGGCCCCTTGGAGGGAAAGTGCTCATCCATCTAGCCATCCAAGCCCAATCCCTAGCAGCACAGCCCCTGCATGTAGGCCATGGATTGAAAAGAGCCAGACCCCTCCCCATGAGGTGGGCTCTGCTTGCCAGGCTGGGCTCTTTCCAGCCCCCCATGAGCAACCAACCAACAACCCCCCGGCCCACACCCACCATCCTCTCCGAGCTGCCGTAGGCCATTAGCAGGCCCCCACATCTGTGGCAGAGCTGGGAATTGAACCCCTCCCTGCTAGCTGCTGTGGGGCAAAAGAGAGCGGGCAGAGGGAGAATGACAGACATGCAAGCCATGCTCTGGCTGCTGAGTGTGGGGGGGACAGCAGGAAGTAGCAGGACAGAACAACACTCCTGCAGCAGTTGAGAACGCTATCTTCCTCGCCCTGATTGTCTCAATGGTTTGACTCGCTCATCTCAGATTCCATTCCATCCCTCTGCAGCCTCCTCTTGCCGCCAGAGGTTCATTCTCTCTGGATGTTCGGCCCTTGCTTTCCACAAGTCAGGGTGCCGCTGTGAGCAATTATCATAAGCGCTAATGGATTATGGCTGCTCAGCCTAGCCGTATGTAACCCAAGCCATGCATGGGCATAAAGGACACTCTGCTTAACAGTCTCCCGAGAGCTTGCTGTCCAAGAACGCACACTGTTTCAGGTAGTATGGCTGGACCGGTGATAAGGCCACAGAGCCAGGAAAGCTGAGAGCAGAGGTACAGGATATTTCTCCCCTTTACAGCCGCCTTCTCATTTGGTACCAGTCCCATGGCCCAGCAGCATCCAGCTCAGAAACTGGAGGCCACCGCTGGTTCTGGTCTGGCTGTGAACGGGATGAGGGAAGAGATGTGAGGAGCTGGAGAGGAAAGAGTTCTAGGTTGGGCAGAATTAACCATGCTTGTCGGCTGGGCCTCCCCCTCCCAGCAGCTAAGCCACGCGTCCTCGTTCCCAAGACATACTATTTACGGGAGCGCCCACAATGAGCTCGGTGCTTTCCCGACGTTCCAGGACAGGCGGGCCGTGCCTGAGAGCTCCCAACCCAAGGATCATAGAATCACAGAATAATGGAGCCAGAAGTCTGGGGAAGGGGACCACCAACCAGGCAATGTATCCACAAGCCAGTGCAGGCAGAGGCTGGGGTCAGACTAGGTGGAGGTAGCTTGGCAGTCAGTGGAGTTATGCCGATTTACACCAGCTGAGGAGCTACCTCTGTGTCTTTATGAGGGACTTGGCTATGGACAGGGCAAGGCCTTGCAGATGAGCAAGTGTCGAATAAGTGAGGGTGGGACCTCCCTTTGGCCACTGTAGGTTAGGGGTGGGGAGAGCCAGTCCACAGACTCCTGAGAGGAGGGGTTTCATGCTGGTAGCCCGGCACACTGAAGTTCTCTGCTTGCACTCAGAGCAGCTACAGATGCAGTGCTTCCCTCATTCTGCCCCTGGAAAGTGCCTCAAACCTGCCCTGGAAATGCAGGAGTAATAAGACAATTCAGGCTTTAGGCTCATTTATTTCTTAGCCTCTCTGCTGGGACTCACAGTGAATGCCCACTCTGTGGTGGGTCTGTGATGCAAATAAATTGGTTAGTCTCTAAGGTGCCACAAGTCCTCCTTTTCTTTTTGCGAATACAGACTAACACGGCTGCTACTCTGAATACTACAACTCACACTTCACGTGTGGATGTACAGACCCTTTGAGGATCTCAAAGCGCATCACAAAGGTGACCAAGCATCACGAACCCCAGCGTACAGCTGGGGAAACCAAGGCACAGCTCCCAAAGTGCCTTGCCCGAGGTCACAGAATCAGGACTAGAAACCAGCTCGGACTCCCAGTCCCCCGCCCTGACCACTAGCTCACCCTCCCTCCTGCCAGGAGCTGGACTGATGCCGCCAGCTCAGCGCCTGTCGCGTAGCCCCTGAGCAGGCAGGATGGGGCGTGACTTGGTCCCCACCAACCTGGGCCAAAGAGTTTCACAGCGTCTCGGGCCCATAGGGACCATTCGAGCATCCAGTCTGAGCTCCGGCGTGCCGCGGGCGGTTCCGTCTCACCCGGGCCCCCGTGTGGAGCCCAGCAACCGGGTTAGGCAAAAGCTCTTCAGCCTTGGGAGACGAGAGCCGGGGCCGGGCGAGAAGGGGCCGGGGCCGGGCGAGAAGGGGCCGGGGCCGGGGCCGGGGCCGGGCGGGCAGAGGAGGAGGGCACCAAAGGCCGGCTGGGAAGAGGAGACACGTCTTCGCTGGGTTTCCCCGGAAATGCCCCCGCGTGCGCGGGGCTGACTCCGGCCACGGCGGCTGCCCGCGGCTCCAGGCGCTGGACGGGCCAAGGGACGTTTCTGGGGAGGGACCTGAGCACAGACACACCCAAGCGCAGCGCGGCGAGTGTGAGGTGACCCCCGGCGGTGCCGCAGCCACGCGCAAGGCAGGCTCCCCCCTCCGCCCCCGGCCCTGGGTGCGCATGCGCCGCTGCCCGCGGGCCCCAAGCCTGGGCGGAGACTCCAAGCCAGGTGTGAGCCGGCCAGGACTGAGCCCGCTCCCGCCCCGTAGCTCGGGGCTGCAACCTCCCCCGTCTGCCAGCGCCCGCTGCTGACCGCACCTCGGCACTGCGCCGACAGGAGCAGGTCCCAGCTTCGCGCATGCGCATTAGCTACACGAAGGGGGGGACCGACCCTCCCCCGCCCCTTCCCGTAAGGTTTCTCCGTCCTTTGGCCTCCTCGCACGTGCGTGCCGTGCTGCCGTTGGGGCAATCACGTGACTCGCTGCGGGCAAGATGGCGGCGGCCAGCGGGCGGCGTGAGCAGTGCTGAGCGCGGGGGGCTCCGTCTCTGAGTGGGGAACAGGCGGGCCCAGGGCCCCTCCCCGCCATGTCGCGTCTCATCGTGAAGAACCTGCCGAGCGGGGTGAGTCCGGGGCGGGGGAATGGGGGTGATCCGCCTGGGGGGTCCCGCCGTGGGGTCCCCACTTGGGGGGGGATGGGTATAGCCCTGGGGGGTTCCCCACTTGGGGGGGGAGGCGGGGGAATGCGCACACCTTGATTATCAAGCACATTGTAGGGAGAGTGGTCACTTTGGATGAGCTATTACCAGCAGGACAGTGAGTTTGTGTGTGTGGTTTTTGGAGGGGGGTGAGGGGGTGAGAGAACCTGGATTTGTGCAGGAAATGGCCCACCTTGATTATCATGCACGTTGTGTAGAGAGTTGTCACTTTGGATGGGCTATTACCAGCAGGAGAGTGAGTTTGTGTGTGGGGGGGGGTGGAGGGTGAGAAAACCTGGATTTGTGCTGGAAATGGCCCAACTTGATGATCACTTTAGATAAGCTATTACCAGCAGGACAGTGGGGTGGGAGGAGGTATTGTTTTATGATCTCTGTGTGTATATAAAGTCTGCTGCAGTTTCCACAGTATGCATCGGATGAAGTGAGCTGTAGCTCACGAAAGCTCATGCTCAAATAAATTGGTTAGTCTCTAAGGTGCCACAAGTACTCCTTTTCTTTTTGCGAATACAGACTAACACGGCTGTTACTCTGAAACCTGAGCTCTGGTGGGAAGTCCCCTCTTGGGGTAGGTGGGGGAATGGGCATAGCCCGGGGGTGGAGAGTCGTCTTTTTGGGGGCAAAGGTAAATCTGGGAGGAGGGACTGGGGGAGGAGGAAGGATGGCTATAGACCAAGGAGGAGGTGAACTAGGGGGGAAGGTGTTGCCGGCACAGAGTGCCTGTGGCAAGCAATAGTTGGGTTTGTTGCCCAACTGCGTCGCGTCAATGACCACAACGGGGTGGAGAAGCAGAGAGATTTATTTGAAGCTTTAGATAGGGCACAGGGAGACTGAACTGTTTTAAATTCTGCAGCCCTGCATGCAGATTTCAGTATACATTTTATACCTTTGCCTACTTTACTACACAAGCTTATGCAACCAATTACCTGTTGCCCCGTACAATACCATAGCCAATTAACTAAAGCAGCCAGTTGTGTTTTTCCTCAGTAGCATTGCCCGAGCCTTGCCTTATTTGGTTCTATTTGTTACTGTTTTTTGCGAAACATTTCTGCCTTATTTATACGTTTTCCAGGCCGAAGCTGGCCCTGGCTAGCAAGCCATGTGCAAACCTGTCTGTTTGTGTGCTAGCTTCCTCATGGTTTTGCAGGGTCACAGAAAGTTTAAGGAGCGGAGGGGCTTCAGTTTGCCTTGGGCCTAGAGCAAGGGGGCTTCATTGACACTTGTGGTCTTCCACCCTCCCGAGTTACCTAGAGTAGTGCCCAATGTCACCAACAACTCCCTTCTTTGAGAACACTTAACAAGCTTGCAACAACTCAACTCAACAACTGAGTTTTTTTATATTTTAAGGACAATAAGTGATTAAGTGCTGAGGAGTTAGAATTCTTAACAAGAGGATATAATGGGGTTTTTGTGGCGCGGGAGGCACATATTTTGTATATGTGTGTTTTACAACAAGCAAGAGGAGAATGATAATACACAACACGGCACCTGTGACCAGGAGACGAATAATGCCTTCCCCCAGGTTGGGCAGCCATTCCCAGAGTGAGTCAAAAATAGTGGGCTTTTTTTTTTAGGGCTTTTTATTGGTTAAGAGCCTGTTTGGCTGACAGGATGTGCTTGTTAATATCCTGTGACTTTTTTGGGACATATGTACAGCATTTATTTCCAATTAGGGCACACACCCCGCCCTGTGCAGCCAAAAGGTAATTTAGGGCCTGGCGGTTTTGCAGGAACAACAACCGGAGTTGATAAAGTTTCGTGTTGAGGCTTTTCGTTATGGCCAAGGTATTATTGGCTAACTTGGTGAGGAATACAGAGAGCTGGCAATAGAGCTTGGCCAATTTACCCACCCCATATGCTGGGAGAAGGATTATACCGAATTTATTTTTTTTACTAATGGGTTCGAAGGTGGCATACAGGGACCACTGATGCCAGGGACAGCCCGATGGGAGGTGGGCCATGACCCGAAGGGGAGGGGTAAGGTGTCCCAAATAACAGTTTTTGTGCCAACGGTGGGGTAGCCATTTATAGGCTGAGTTACCACAGACATAAAAGGACTGTTCGTTGGCTGCCTTGCCATTGTGGCCCCATTTGTCGGCTGCGGCTTTTAAGGGGGTATAATATTGAAGCCCTTCGCCTGTGTCTTGGCCAGCACTATTACATAGAGGAATAGTGGTATTCGTGGACGGGGACAAATAATACTGACAGGTACTATTACCAGCAAACCAGGTATGGTTAACAGTGGCTTCCTGGCGATAACAAAGGAGGCCCATGGGGACGGAGCGTAGCTGGATGGGTTTGGGGGCATGGGTCGCATTTCAGTAGGGTTTCCAGGGATTAGTGTTGCTACTAAACTTGGCCTCTTTAGTACAGTTTTCTGTTAAGGTGGGCTGCGTTTGCAACCGAGTGGCGTTTGCTTTTATCCACCCATCACAGAGGTCTGACCAATTGGGGGCAGTTGCCCTCCAAGGGAAGCTGGCCACATGGTAGGGGATCTGGGAACATATCCAGCAGTTGGATAGATTAAATTTACGGGCAAAGGCGATTTTGAGGCCTTATAGGTATTTACATTGAAATTAACGTTTTTTATTTATCTTTTTTTTAGAGCGAGAGATATGGGGAATACTAGGCAAATGACACCCACTATGAGAGACCTCATGGTGTATATGCCCTTGTAGCCCCCCCACCCCCTCCCCGTGCTTATGTTTTTTTAAACAATAATTTGAGTTCAAGATTGTTGGAGGGTGATGTGGTGATGGGCTGGATGGTTCACCGTTCCGCTGGGGGAGGAGTAGGCACCGCCTTCAGGCGAGAGTGATGGATTCAGTTTTTGTGTCCCTTTGCCGCCGTGTGGGAAACCAGCAGGACGGTGTGGGGTCCCTTTCACTTTTTTTGGAGAGGCTTGTCCTTTCAGGTACGAACAAGCACAGAATTACCTGGCTGCAAGGAGTGGACGGGGGCATTTAATGGAAGAGGCTGGGAGTCTTTGGTATACCTGTGGAGAGAAGAGAGAACAGCAGACAGCGAGCACATATGCTGAGACAAAAAACCACACCCCATTTTCCACTTTCCTGCCAGAACTGGTTTTCCATTTATAGGCCATGCCCTTTTAAACATAATTTTAAAGGGACTAAGCCCTAATTTACCCTTTGGGAGAGCGCAGACGTGGAGCAGGACAAGGGGCAGAGCATCGGGCCATCGCAGGGAGGCTTTTTGGCACACTTTTGAGAGGTGTTGCTTAAGGGTTTGATTGGTACGCTTCACTACACCACTGGCCTGCGGTTTCCATGGCGTGTGGAGTTTCCAGGGGATCTGTAAGGCATCTGAGATGTTTTGAACGATTTTTGATGTGAAGTGCGTTCCATAGTTAGATTTTTTTCCGTTGGGGGAGTCCGAAGCGGGGAATAATTTTCCTAACAAACTTGAGGGCCACTGTTTTGGCAGTGCAATTACGGCATGGGAAGGCTTTAGGCCATCCGCTGAATTGATTCACCAAGACGAGGAGATATTTGAACCTTTGAGTTTGGGGAAACTCAGTAAAATCTATTTGCCACTCCAGTTCGGGGCCTGGATTCCAAGGTAGCTGGTGTTACTGGATGTCCTGGCCGAGGGTTATTTTTTGGCAGACTAAACAGTCAGCTTGTATCTGGGTAGCCAGGGGTCGGAGTCCTGAAGTCAAGAAGTATTTTTCCATTAGCTGGATAAGGGCCTTCCTGCCAGCATGAGTGGTTTGGTGTAGCTGCTGCAGTACTGGCCGGATTAGGCCCTTCGGTAGGAGGATTTTTCCTTCCGGGGAATGAAGCTATCCCTCTTTTTTCTGAAGACCGAGTTTGTTAGCTAGTTTTCTCTCTTCCCCAGAGTACTGAGGGGTTGGAAGCTTCCCCACTGATGGGATAAGGGTATGCATGTGGGCATTCTTAGCTTCCGGTGGAGTCAAGGTGGTGGCATGCTTGGCTTCTCTGTTCTCCCTGGCATTGCCCCTGGCCACGTCTTGATTTTTCCTTTGATGAGCTTTACAGTATACCACCGCTACTTTTGAGGGGAGTTGTATGGCTTTTAGGAGCTGGGGAATTTGGGGCCTGTACTTTACTGGGGAGCCGTGGGCCGTTAGCATTCCCCTTTGCTTCCACAGGCCAGCATCGGCATGTAGCACCCCAAAGGCACACTTTAAGTCGGTAAAAATGTTGACCCGCTTTCTCTTTGACAGTTTGAGCGCATGGGTCAGGGCTACCAGCTCAGCCAGCTGGGCAGAGGTCCCGGTGGACAACCCCTTGGCCTCTACGGTATCATGGAGGGTTACGACAGCCTAACACGCCCTCCTTTGCCCATTTATGACAATGCTGCTACCATTTCTGTACCACTTATAATCCGCATTTGGGAGCAGCTGATTTTTTAAGTCCTGGCGGCTGGAGTATTGGGCATTTATGATTTCTAAACAGTTGTGTTTCTGTTTCTCTGTTTCTGGCAAGAGGGTTGCTGGGTTGAGGGTGGGGCAAGGCTGCAGGGTGACCTCAGGGTTCTTTAACAGCTTAGCCTGATACCGAGCTATCCGAGCCTCGGTGAGCCAGAGACCACCCTTGGTATTCAGCAGGGCTTGGACCATATAGTAATATGGCAGGCGACCAGCTTGGCTTAACAGTGAAATCCTAGCGGATCTTAAGCATAAAAAAGAAGCTTACAAGAAGTGGAAGGTTGGACATATGACCAGGGAAGAGTATAAAAATATTGCTCGGGCATGTAGGAATGAAATTAGGAGGGCCAAATCACACCTGGAGCTGCAGCCAGCGAGAGATGTTAAGAGTAACAAGAAGGGTTTCTTCAGGTATGTTGGCAACAAGAAGAAAGCCAAGGAAAGTGTGGGTCCCTTAATTAATGAGGGAGGCAACCTAGTGACAGAGGATGTGGAA